AGAAGTTTTGCCAACGTATTCATGGAACCCGGTCCTTGGGTCAAGGTCATTTGCAAAGACTTTTTCTCCACATTGACATGCACCTTGTGAGATGGACTCTTATCAAATTATATACATGCTGTTCCCACTGGTTGAGAGAAAGCACAGTTGGGCACCAAAAAAACGTATTTTTTTGCTCTGCAAATTGCCAACTTCACACGGATTCACATGCCTCGCACTTGGTTGGCTAGCTGAAAGCTGCGAGCAAGCCCTCATTCGTGCAAAACACGTCATATTGTCCCGCTTCGCTCAGGTTGCCACCGAGCTCCTTTTTGGAGCCATGCGAGCCATGCAAGCGAGGTCTCGGCACGTGGATGGGGATTTGCCGAGGTCTTGGAAACCTGCGACGCTTTCACAGCAGCAAAACGCTGCGACAGCCAAAGCAGCGGTTTCCCGTGACGGCAGTGACGGCAGCTCGTTGACAGTGGACGCGTCGCAGGTGAGTGACTTGCTCGCTCTCCCCGCCAGGAAGTAACTTGCCTGTGTGGAATGCTTCTGGGGTATCCTTCGCCTAGTTTACGTACAGGTGTTGTCCGAATGCACCTCTTCAAGACGTGGTTGTGCCGATGATGAGTTTGTTCCGGGATAAGTTTTGAGATCCGCGTCATAGAACCAGGGCCAGTGTCAAGGTCATTTGCAAGGTTTCTAGTTTTTTCCGACTCTTATCAACTACATGCCATTCCTGCTCGCTGCAAGAAACCAAAGTTTCTCACTTACAGCCTGGTGAGCACAAGGAGTGGTAGGTCGCGCCCTTGCCTCAAAGCATTTCGACCAATCCAGGCAGGTCTGTGACTGACACACGGGTGATGTGCATATGCATCTCTTTAAGACTTGGTGGCGCCAATGATGCGTTTGATGATTGATTCGTGAGAAGTTTTGCCATCCATTTCATAGAATCAGGGCATGGGATCAAGTCGTCAAACTCATTTGCAAAGAGGTTTTGTCCACTTTGACCCCGGCCTTGTGAGATGGACTATTGCATGTTATTTTCACTTGCTGAGAGAGAATACAGTTTGTCACTTTCACAGTCGTTTGAGCGCAAGGAGTGGTCATGTTCTTTTAGCCCAAAGCTATAACATCCTTGAGCCAATCCATGCAGATGTGTAGATGACGCATACTTATTGTGCAAATGCACCTGTCAACGATTTGACCATGAGAAGTATAATGATTGGTTTGGTTTTCGAAGAGTTGCCAGCGAATGCATAGAATCCGGGCCTGTGATCAAGGTCATGTGCAAAGAGGGTTCTGCACTTTGACCTTGGTCTTGTGAGATGGACTCTTAGCCAAATATATGCTATCCCACTTTGCAGAGAAAGCAGAGTGTGTTGCTCTCAGAGTTTGTCCAGCACAAGCAGTGTCCATGCGTCCCTGGCCCAAATCTGTACCATCCTTGAAGGATTCAAACAGGTGCTGCTGCTGACGCACAAGTGTTGTGCTACTGCAGAGCTTCAAGACTTGGTTGTGCCAATAATGAGTTTAATGCTTGGTTTGTAGAAGTCGTGGCCACCAGATTTATGAATCAGGGCCTGGGGTCAACGCTGACATGCTATTGCCATTGGCTGAGAGAAAGGAACATGCGTCATTTCACCGCCTATTGAGCACAAGCAGCGGTCATGCTTTCTTGAACCAATCCAGGCAGTTGTGTAGCTTTCGCACGGGTGTTGCCCTTTAAGGCGTCGTTGTGCAAATGATGGTTTTGATGATTGATTCGTGAGAAGTTGTGAGAACGTATTTATTGAATCAAATGAGTGAATCAAGGTCATGAGAGAGGTTGCCTCCATGCCTATTGAGATGGAATCTTGATCAGAAACAGGAGCAGCCACCAAAAACCTCCAAAGTAACACTTTGAAGCGATGTCAATGATTGAATCAAGGTCATGTGCAAAGAGGTTGCCTCCATCTTGACCTTTGCCTATTGGAGCTGGTACGACGCTTCGCACGAGCTGCCAGCTCCTACAGGTGTGCCAGACAGATCCTGCTCCATGATTCTTCGTTTGTGCGCGCTCCAAGTGCTCCAAGCATGGTCGGACCTCTCAATGCGATCCAGCCGGTCATTGCGGGTCCTGGCTCCTGGCTGTTCCACGCGTCACAGGCGAGGTGTCGTGCATCAATGCCACAATCCGCGCCCAGCGTTGCCATTGTTCCAGCGGGACTGGTTCTCACGGTTGTGCACGGTAGGAGGCCTTGTCGACAGCAGTCAAGCTCTTCTCGCATTCCAAGCACAACATGCCAGTCGTGACATGACAGAGCGAAGAGCTCGGCTGAGCGCGAAGAGCTCGGCTGCGCCAGCCGACCACCTGTCAGGAAGTCTTGGGGACTTCGGTAATCAAGGAAACTCCTTGCTCCTCTCCCTGGAGGAAGGTGTCAAACCAACAACAATGTCTGATGACCTAAAAGGTGAGATGGAATCTTGATCAGAAACAGGAGCCGCCACCAAAAACCTCCAAAGTAACACTTTGAAGCAATTTCAATGCAACAGGCCTTCGAGAAAGGTAAAGACATGGTTGCGAAAGACTTGCAAAAGATTTCCCAAACTTTTCATGTTCGAAAGCTTGCGACCGCTCTGTTTTAGATACATTTGTGAACATGTATACTTGATATGATGTGCATGTAAGTAGAGCATCCCATGGCTCGTATAAAACAGTCGTGTCCAACAAGGCTTGCGAAGGTTGTTTTGCTCTGAATGCATCCTGCGGAAGCCGGGTGGTGATGCTCCCTTAATGCACACCAATGGGGTTCTTATTTCTGCTCGAAAGGGTGTCCGCTCGATACACAACTTTCCGCTCGAAGTGAAAAAATGTAACCCATGTACTGCCACTATCTCCACTCCAAGCCCACCCAGGCTCCCAAGTATCACAACAGTGTGGACACAGTGCACACACACAATTTTGTGCTGCTCACGATCTCGATTGGTCACGGCTTCAACCTCCACTCAGCGCTGGGAGCCTCAGTGCCTTTTAAGGCAGGCTTGGTCCCATTCAGTCTTGTAAGCCATCAGCGACTTCTTTAAAGTGCTGATAGCCAAACAAATCGAGTGAACCTTTCGACTGCATCTTGATATCCTGCCTATACAGTCTTCATCCCCCCAGCACATGGTGCCTCAGTTTGGGAGACAGTGAGAAGATGAACCACGTGTTCATGATAAGCCCCCAACAAGCTGGGTTTAGGATGGCATCCCTTGACGGTTGAACTTCAAGCTGGTGCTCCAACTCTCTCCTCAGCTGCCAGCCATTACCAGCCGTTGAAACAAAGGGTGCATAGATGTGCACAGTTTGCAAATTCAGTGGAACGTGTTGTTTGCATACAAGTGTACAAATTCAATCAAACCTTGTGCAAACAAAGGTTCACCACATGTTGAAACATGTGGCCCTTTGGCCTTATGTACCACAAAGCCCGCCAGGCAGTCTTTACCCCAACCTGCTATGGCATACGATGTGAGGTGCACACCCGTTCTTGGGCCACGTACGTACGGATGATGCGGACCAAAATCACACCAGTCCTGACAGAAGCCAAGAAACCTAGTAAAGGTCACCCTGGCCTTTGGCAACAACCATGCGTGAACAATCCACAAAGACATGTGCTATGCCCCTTGCAAACCAGGCTCGCGGCTCGGGCAAATGTGACACACCCTCCGAGAGGTGAACCCGGTTTCCAATCTGAACACACTTCTAAGCCAAGGCCAATCGCCTTTGCTTCCAAGGTATCGGAAATGAACTTTGAAGGATTGACCTTCAAAGTGCACCTCAGGGGAAGCATAAAAAGTCATAAAAGCCGTGCTAGGGCTGCGCATGGACCACATGTTGCAGCACAGTGCTGCACTGGAACAACCGCTGGCCTCAATCCCAGAAGTGTAAAGCTTATTGCAGTCTGTAGCTAGGGCATCCATCAGGGCTTCAAGGGTTGCTCCAGACTTTCCGGCGTAATTCTGGGAAGGGACAACTGTGTAGACCATACGCGTGGTGTACGTGTGCCTAAGTGGTGCGTGAGACAAGAGCTTCTTCCAAGCATGCATGGTTCCTGAAAGCATGAGCTTTGGAAGACTGGAACAAAAGTAAACCAAGTTGCTTTTTTGAAATGACGTACTGCTCCCCGATCCAACTGATGATGCACTGGAAGCTTATAACCAAGAGGGGCCTCTTCACTTGTCCCCTCCCCTCATCGCCGTGGATGAAAAAGCCAATGGTCCTTTTGGGGAATGGAGGCATGTTGCCAGGTTCTACAACATCGTATCTCTGCCAGAAGTTTTCTAACATCAGTTCAACTTCTTGAATCTTGCTCAAGCTATGGCCACCCAACATGAAGAATCCCCCATAGAGCTCATCCTCCATGCACATTTTTGCCCAACTGGACAAATGAAGCACCGGCCAAGGTCGCAGCTCAACCTTCCGCTGGCGAGTTAGCTTGATGGGTGCCTGGACTGCATCCACTTGTACATTCAGAGTCCGGCGATGCTTGTGAACAAGTAGGTGAAGGCCCCTGCTAGCATTCGACCCTCTCTTGGAAGCCATCTCTGAGATCTTGCTCCCATAGATACCTAGATGTGTGTTGGGAAACGTTAACATCGTATCCGACTCCTCGATCTCACGTTGCAGACATGGGTCCATGATTGCTCAGAAGTTTTTCAGTCTTCGCCGCAAGAGTTGTCACCGATTTGGCTGTGGCTTGAGTTTGATGCTGCCACCAAGTCAAGGGTTGTGCATTGGACCCAAGCTGTTTGCAGCCCAAGAAACCCCATCCGCAAAGTTGCTAAGCGTTCACGAGGTCGTCGTCTGACTCACTTGGTAGATCCTCTGCAGTACCTCCCATGGACCAAAAGCATCCCACATACCCCCTTAAAGGAACTGCTAAGTAGCCACGTTTTGTGTTTTTGGCAAACCCCACGCCTCTAAAAGAAGTCATGTCTCTGTGCCCTGGCAGGAAAACAGGCATAGCTTCCAGAAATACACTTCTGGCTATTACGCACACACACACAGCTGCATGCATGCATAAGATATTTTCAACCACTGACCTGGCTTGGGTGCAATGCTCCACATTAAATTGGATAGGCCAATCTATTGTTGCCAACCAACCACGATGCCACCCCTCCCCAACACAGACATGTGGTGTTCAAACTCATCGCATCGTGGTAAAAGGCAAAAGGCACAACAGGAGCCTGGTAACACAAAAGACCTACTTCTCGGCATTCTTGTCCTTTTTGGACTTTGTTGCCTTCGACTTATTCCCCGGCCGTTTCGATTCATGGCCCTTTCGCCCAGGTTCAGAAGATGCAGGAGACTTCACTTGCCTTTGGAGGCAAGTGTATGGTAGCCGGGGGTTGGGTGAAGACATGGGGTTGGAAAAACATGCTTAGCCGTGTACTTTGTTCTCATGAGAAGGCTGTTCAGCTCAACATCCATCTTGGTGCATTCAACGAATGCGGATTGTACCTGCTCTTTCTTGGTCCTGCGGGTCAGATTACAAACCATAGGGTCTAGGGTGAGAAAATGTGGTTGAGTTTTCCAACTGGCACTGGCTTACTAGATCCCAGTCAACTCCTGTCAAAAGACTGCGGGGCTTCCGAAAGAAACTGCGCAAGCTTGTCATCAAGATCTGTCATCTTTTGCACACGGTCACGCAGGGCAGACTGCAACCTGGGTAAGCTAGTGGCTAGGGTGGGATATGGCGGGATACTCATGCAAAAACCACCACAAGTCAAAACAATCTTCCAAACACCAAGATGTTTGCTAGGAACGAGGTTGATGCAGGGCTGGTGACCTTTGCCAATCTGTCCTGTCAGGGAGGTAGGCTTGAATCCTGAGACCCTATCCTATTGCACGTATTGACCTAGGATCATCCCTCCACAGGACCTTCCACAATCATCATTTTCCCCTAAGGTCCAGCTCCATTGGCTTTGTCCAGCTTCCGACCTAGAACCTCCACAAACTGTGGGAGAATTTGGAGTGGTGGTGTTGTTGTCAGAGAGCACGAAGGGAAGGAGAGCCCTCAGAACTAGCACGTCTATAGGTCTAGAATTCTGGAAGCCGATACCTATAGCACAACAACATGTTCGTGACTCAGTTGAGCTGCTTGAAACTCATGACTCCACCAGTGTTACCCACCAGGTTCCCATCAGCACCCCCAGCCGCGGGTGATGATGTAGATCGAATCTCCAGGCATGTCGCCCAGTTCGGAAGCAAGCAGGGTGCCAGCTTCATCCTGAGGCCGGCTGGGTGGATACCGAAGGGAGACACTTACATGAAGTCCGTCATTCGTGTCGTTTTCGTTCAGACTTGACCATGCATTGAGTTCCCAAACCCTTCCTGACTTGCAATGGTACCGGATCGGTTTACCTCTTCGATATGCGCGTTGCTCTTGTCAAAGCTCTGGAAAAGTGTTATCTTGATTTCCTCCTCTCCGTGCACCTCGTTGGTTCTAAACCTATCAGGTCCTTTGGCCTTGGCCCATTCCCATGACTTCTCGATCATCTTCCTAGGTACGGTGTCGTGAAAGCATGAACAGTGAAACAGCATACATATAGTGTACATGACCGGGCCAAGGATATGCAGACAAATGTCTTAGTGTAGCCCTCCCTCTCCAAAGCAACCTTGGAATACCAACCGCCTTGGTCCCTGTCAGTGGAATTCCTGATATTCTTCTTGTAAACGTAGACTTCCAGCTCACCAAAGTTCCCATTAGCTTCAAAAAGCCTTCGAAGCTCCTCACCTTAGGTAATGAGGGTCCATTATATAGCTAGGGTGGTTGAACAAGGTTGAACAAGTGCCCCTTAATAGCTCTATCTGTATAGCTAGCGGGGCACGTCCACTTGCTGTTTTCCACATGGCCATAGCTTCTTTGCTACACTTGAGTGCACCACTCGCTTTGGGAGTGAAATACCGCCTCATCCTCAGCCCAAAAAGGTTTCGGTTTTTGTGGAAGCACGATCCAATAAGAACAAGACAAGTTTGCATGCACACAGCTAGCGACTAGCCAGGAAACTTCCAATAACCCTTATTCGGAGCTGATGACAACGAAGCAACCGAAGCTGAATCTCCAGGATCTTCAGTCTCTCTGGCTGGGCTCACGTCTTTGGCATCAGGCAGCTTGGGCGCTGAAGACGGGCATGCTTTGGACGGTGGTGTTTTTGGCACTGGAAACAGCTCTTTGGGGGGCACTGAGGGCACCTCTTTCGGGGTAAGTGGAGGCAGCTCGACTGGGGTCGTTTGCGCAAAAGTCTCAGCAACAAAAGGTTCAAGGCTATCACGTGGCTGTGCATCAGTCCACTCTGGCTCCACTGCATCTTCTTTGTCCAGATCTATGGTCACCACCGGTTGGGTTTGTTCCACAAAAACATCAGGCGAAGCTGCATCAATCTGAGTCGACTCTGCGAGCCCTGCCGAAAACGTTCCTGCCTGCTGGGCAATGTATGGGGCACCTTGGAATCAAGAACAGAGGAGCATTGAAGGTAGAGACAGGGATCAAGAACTCCTCATGGGCCCTCTGAACTTGGACTTTGTATATATGCAAATACCCAGAACCAGCAACTGGATGGGTAGGTTTCTCCAACGATGGCTGGTTAGAAAGCTTCCTTCGTAGAGCTTCAATCCGAGTCTTGCGTGCCTAAGGGAAAGCGGCCGCTATTGATCTATTCAAACTGCATGTGTGCACATCCTCACATGGTGGAAATTAAGCACAGTACAGCGATTAGCTCCTCCAACTCACGTTTGCGAGACTCTGTAGGTCCAGCTGGATTGTGATGCACACTCTCCATCCCTGCTAGGAAAGTCTTGCTAGAGTTGAGTCGGGATGTCATGAATGCGGAACTTGAAGCCTGAATTGCCACAATACATATAGATTGGGACAAAACTAGAAGTCAACGTGCATAAAAGGGAGACTCGTGGACATGTGTAAAATGCAAAATGAGCACATATTTTGTTTCGCGCCTTTTTGCGTGTTTTTGCGCCCGATTGCGGCTTTTTTGCGCCCGGATTGCGGCCTTTCTATGGCCAGTGTTCCCCATAAATCTCGTTCAAGGTCACGCAACACTCTTCACTGTCAAGATGGACGACAAATCATCCGTGAAATCACTAAGCAAGTTTACAAGTTTGGGTGAAGCCTGCTGTGTGCATCAAAGCACCCCACTAGAACCTAAGGGCTACCCCGCTGAAGCTTTTGGAGCTCTGAGTGCAGCTTCATGTTGCCAAGCACCTGGCCAATACACGGTAATTACCTTGATCATAGCTCTTGCCCTTCCTGGGTTACCCACTATGTGATTGGAAACCGGTGCCTGGCTTTCATAGGCCGATCGAAAATCCTTCATGACCACCAACCAGTCAGCAGGGATCCTGCAGCATAGGCTTTCGCAACCCTCAACATGATTCAACATCAATGAAGACCCCCACCTCATGTGTTTGCTCTCCATCAAGTACACCAGACAGGGAAGTAAGTCTGCTTCCTCCCAAGGATCATCCATTGGCAAGTTCTTAAACCATTCAACTGATGTTGTACTCGCCGACTGTGGCTTAAATCGTAAATCGCGTCGGTTGTGTGCAGTGTTTGTCAAGTGCTTCTCGTAGGCTTTCCGGACGCTTTGGCCAAATCCTTGAGGATACTGCCTGGGTGACTCAGACCGGGACAGTTGTGGCATACGGGAAGTGCGCATGCAGGTTGATGGCTAAGGTACTGTGACTCCCCAAGCTGTTGGGTTCCAACAAATCTTTGGCGCCCACTTTTGTCCACATAGCGGCCTCAGTACCGGCCAGCCAATATACTATAGTACTTAATTGGTGGCATGAGCGGTTGTTTCCAAACACAGTGAGGGCACGAGTGAGTTTGGCACTTGTGCGACTTTCCTTTTCTTTCTTAGTGAGAACCCCCAAGTCCAGATCGTGGATTTCGATCATATTGCTGTAAACTATGGTTGGCTTGGGAGTCTTGTTCCCATGTAGCATCATCCAAAAGGATTGTTCATAAACCTCGGAAAAATACATGAAAGGTTCGCCGTCTATATCTATATAGTATATAATATACTGCAGTGTTCAGTTGAAATAAGCTTGGAACAATGCAGACATGGTTGATCATCCACTCAAACCGTGGATGGCGGACAAGCAAAGACTGCCGTGGTTGCTCCAGAAGCCAGACTAGGTTTCGCCCAAGACAAACCAATATTACCAAAGTAGTCCTTAGTGTTGTCCTCTGGGCCTCTCAGTCCTTATATGTATATATATATATATGATGATGATGATGAAACACGCATACAACACATGCATTGAGCCAAATATCCTTGATACCATAGTGGTGGCTTTTCGGACCCACTGAAGACTCATATTTCCGTACACGTTGACAAAACTACGTAGGCTTGTCCCACGTGCTGGAACGCCCCAGGAGGAGCAGTCGGGTGCAAAAAGCACCAATGAATCCACGGGCATTTGAAGCAACACGCACAGTATCAGCCTCAGCCGGGCTGGCAGAGCGGTTAGATCGATATTCCAAAGAAGGCAGAAGGGCTGCAGTTTAGAAACAAGAATCCTGGGGCTGAATTGAAATCCATCGCTGTAGCATGGAACTCTCTATCATAGGAGGCAACCCGATAGCCTGCTTCAGACCTAAGGTAATTCAGGGCAGAAATACATACATGCTACTTTGCACATGTGCCGTATCTAAGGAAAGTACATCGCACGCGTGACAGCTTGCTTGCCAGCAAAAACTTCCAAGAAATCGAAAGGCCATCCACATGGACCATCGAACCAGGATATCAACAGCACCTAGGCAAAAAGACTTCATGCATGGCTTCGCTGTGATGCACACTTGTCTAGGACCCTTGCCAAGGCGATGAGGACCTGTGAGGACTCGATGCGATGTGATCACAAAAACACGGGCTTTACGAGTTCATCTAAGACCACCACCTTTGGTGCTTGGTCATGCTGCAGGTTGACTAAAGGAAATCCCGGCATTTGTTGAGCTAGGATGAACCACTAGCCCACACAGCTTAGGCCCAAAAAAGCTGAGCTCATGCACTGCAAATGCAATTCATCTCACACGCATGGTCACGAAGCTTGCGCATTAAAAAGCTGTCAGCCATCTAAACTGGCCGAGGTTTGCCAGCAATCATGGCATTCTTGATCGCCATGCCAGTGCCCCGAGGCATGGTGGGCAATGATGGGCCTTCACAAAATATACGTTCTTGTGTGAGTTGCTCACTACACCTGAACGGGATAAGCCTCCTCAAGAATTTGACATGAAAGGAAAGACACAGTTAATTGCATTCTTTTTTCATGGTGCACGTCCGAAGTTGTAGGCGCATGAGGTTATCCTCACTGCTGCTCCGAAACGTTTGACAGACAGATTGCATTGCAACCTTGTGGAACCCTCACAAGCACGTGAACGATATCACGTACGTAAACCCCAAAAGAATGCTCAGCTGCAGCGCTAGTTGGTCCGGGCGTAGGCCTTGGAAGGCATAGCGTGTGTATCTAAGTCAGTCCAGTGGCTGCGGCACATGGAGTGCAAAAAAGAAGAGAAAGCAAAGAATTATGAGATGAATGCTGCATGATTAACAAATAGCCAAGGTGCCTCCTTGCCCTTAGCAGTGGCCTCCTCCATGGTCAAACCATTCCCCAAAGCTTCTTTCTTGGCCCGGTGGTATGCCGCCGACTTCCGGGAAACCTTGGCTTTCTGGGCTGCGATCTTCTTTGTCTTCTCATCATCCTCTATGTCACAAGTTTCTTTCTTTGGCTTCTTGCTCTTCCTGGAAGTTTCAGGAGCACTCTCACTGGCGCCCGTTCCGGAAGCCTGGTTGTTTTCAGCAGGCATAGCACCACTCGCCCCAGCATCCTTCCTCTTCTTCTTTCCTTCCCCTTTAACAGTCTCACTGTTCTCAAGCCTTGTCCGTGTCCTCCGCTTGTTGCAATCCGTGCTGGAACCAGCTTTGTACTCACAGGTCTCCTCCTCATCCGATGCCAGCATTGGTCTCAGCCTCTTCCTCCGTGTAGGCAAGGCTTCAGCTGGGGCTGAACCTCCATCAATGTCAGCGCCTCCAACTTGCTTTGCCTTTGACTTGGCCTTTGATTTGGTCTTGGGCCTGACCGATGCTTTGGGCACACCTTTCTTGGAAGTTGAAGCCTCAGCTCTGGGCTTTCGTCTTCAGCATCAGTCTTCTTCTTGCGAGTGCGTTTGGGCAGCACAGCGCGCTGCTCTTCAGGTGAGATCGGAATAACCTCATTGAGAGCTTCAGGCCGAGGAAGAGTTGCTGGCTCCAACTTGTCATCCTCATTCTGGGGATCCTTGGAGTTTTCGCCCACAGTCCTGCTAGAGGTGACTCCGTCCGAGAGTCAAGGTGGCTCAGCTGGAGCAGGATCTGCAGATTCGCCTGCAGATTCACCTTTTGAGTCTGGTCTTTGAGCTCCTTGCCTGAAGCTGGCTCCTCAGTTTTGGGCTGACCGGCTAAAGGTGGCTGCCGCGGCTGTGGGGCTTCCAAGCCGAGCATGGCAGCCTCAGAATTTGGTCCATAGGTTGCATAAGACACAACTGTCATGCACTTGGGATTCGAGTCGAGCGGGTCCGGTGGGTAGATATGGTCTTCTAGTTCTGCAAGTTTCCATAGGTCAGCATCGGTCCATCACCTGTCTCTGCATGTTGTCAGTACCGGCGGAAAAGGTATCTTTTCCGCGATCTAACCAGGTAAAAACTCAAACAACAAAGCCACATATGGCCCTGGTATAAGAAGGCTTCCATCTATTAACCAAAGGTACATGGAGGGACTGTGTTGATCTCAGCACCAGTGTCAGCAGCTTTCGTCTCAGTAGACATGGCAGGGCATTGACCTTGGTGCTGACCCTCTGCCTCACACATCCTCAAGTGCTCAAGCTCTTTCTCTGCTTCCGAAATCTCCTTCAAGAGCTTCGCTTCCTCTTCCAAGGCTTGCTCTTCCGCATCCAAATCATGCAGAAGCTGCATTTGCATCTCGAGTTCAGCCAGATCTTTCTCCTGCTCTTGGAGCTCCAGAGCAATTTGTTCATCAATCAAATCCAGCTGAAGAAGATGAAGCTGCCCAACCTCGATCTCATGCTTGATCTTTTCCTCTGATGTAGTGTCGACAGCATTGGTTGTTGAGCTTGGTGGGACATGGGCTTTACCACAAGTTTCATGAGCTACAGTGGCACCACTCCGCACCGGAGTTGCCACTGCTCTATGCGCAACTCTAGGACCACCAAGAGCAGCACTAACATCAGGATTGTATGCCGGTGGGGCATCACACTTCTTCCTGTTCAGACCGGCCACAACACAGTCCTGCTCTCGTAAGTCTGTCGCCTCTTGAGCTGTCTTCAAGCACTTTCTGTATTGGAAGCCACTGCAATGCTTGACTATGTAGTGCTCCCATGGCTGGAGGTTTGCTTCAGCATCCAGAACAGCAGGGTCTTCTGGAGAAGTTTCTGCTGGGTCTTCCCTCTGGCCTTGCACGTGCAAAGCCATGGAGCCCCAAAACAACACCCATGTATGTGGACGCGTATTTCATCCATGGAAATATGTAGCCCATGGCCCGGAGTGACACGTACGTATACGTACCGAGAAAAGGTTTCCAAATGCACACGTGCTTTGACAAGACGCCAGGTTCTGCCGAAGCGGAAGGTGGAGTGGTCAAAGGACCGCGGGCATCTTCGGATCTGGGTCCTCACAGTGTTGGATGACAAGCTACGGGGTCCAGGGAGTTTGGCAGTCTGCATTTTCTGGATCAAGTGTTTGAGGGAAGGCATGAGTTCCCCATTTGAGTCCTCATGAACTTTAACCTCAGGGTCTTCGTCAGGGGCTTCACTTTCACCTTCTTCACCACCTGGATGGCTATCTCCCACAGGTTCAGGTTCGTCGTCAAGCTCGGCGTCGCCCCTGATTTCCTGACCTGGTTGTTTTTATAGTTGACATAATTCAGCAATAGTGTTGGATATTGAAAGACAAGGCACGAGATTGGGGAGCATCTGGTACTGGTATATCAGCAAGTTCCATCAACTCCCGAATTTCCCTCTCACGCGGGCGATGCCCTCTGCTTGCAGCACGGCTGAAGCAGTAGACCAGGCTACGAACCAGCCAAGCTTCTGTCTTGATGAGTTCACCTGGGCCGGGAGGTGATGGTTGTGCTACTGGAAGTTTTGTAATATTTTGACCAGACCCCTGACGGGTCGGCAGTGGCTTCCAGGCCAGTAGTTTAGGAACAACGTCACAGCTTCCACGTCGGAAGGGCGAAGTCCTGGGCGAAGTCCTGGGAGTCACATGGGAGAACTCATGTGGTACGTCTGGACTGATCATACGTACGTTGATGCAAGCCTCACATTACTTGCAACCAAAGGTCCCATGTGCTGAACCACCGGTGCAATCAAGCTCTGGTTCTCGCAAACCTCAAGCCTTCCAACTACCTTGCCCTCAGCGACTTTAGCTAGGATTCCCGAAGCCCCAAGTCGCACAAGTATTTGCAAGATTGCCATGCTACCACCACAGCGTTGACGTTCTCACTTCTCTCCATAATTCAAAATTCAAAGGATATCCCCTTCCTTTGTGCCCAAATGAGCTGCAAGGCATGTGAGAGAGGGAGAACAAGCCCCAATACATCCAATCCGCACGTTGCCAGACCCAGTGCTGCCGGCCTGTGAGGAGATGATGGAGATCACGGTGATCCTTGGGCCTCCTACCTGCAACACATCTATGGCTATAGGCTATATACCTAGGATCTAGCTCTGAAGAAAATACAAGAATCCCAAAGGGAGCACATAGCTGCGCATGCAGCTATCACCAGCTCATCACTGAGCAAAATGGCTGCGGACTGGGAAGTTACCCAAATCTGCACGTTTCAAAGGTTTACGCTCGAACAGCAGATTTCATGTACGAAAGGCAGGTCACACAGATATAAGAGCTCGAACGAGGATCAAGGTGAATAAAGCCCGGCAGTTGAATGAATGCCAAAAGCCTCAGCCTGCATGCGGGCCTGTATTGCACCTTTCTCTGTTCATGCAGCAGAAGTGGGGTGAGAGAGTGCCCTTTGACATGCCTAAACGATTTGGCACCACATGTTGTGCCTGCAGTATTGATCTAGAATGTGATGCTGCATGCCTTCCTTCTATCTCTAGGCTTGGTGTGCTTCAACATCTCAACAACTCTTGTAGAAGTTCCTGCTATTATCCACCTTTTGGTGTGGCATTGAGCCTCAATCAGAAACCACGTAAGAGCAGTGACCGTCGAGGTCATGCAGCCTTTTGGTCTGCCATCTGTGGAGCATGGGACATCAGGGCGATGATGCAGCCTGCTATGAGAAGGAAAAGCAGCCGCCAACTTGCTACACTGAGACTCGCTTGGGGTACAACAACCCAATGTACTTTCTTTGGGGTCGGAACTGTTGGCAAGCTGGGTCCTGAGGGGTCTAATATGTGTTGTTTAATCATGGGAGGTGTTTGGAAAGGCTTCAACTTGGTGTGAAGGAATTAACACTTTGGAAAGGGAGCTATGCTCCAGACAAAGGTATGCAGGTGACTCACAGGCTGAAACGTCCGGAACGAGCCGAACCTCATCCTGGCTGATCCAGCCGACAGCTATCCATCGACCCGGACTGTCCGCCTGGCCGCGCCCCACTGGCCCTCTGGCTCTCAGTGGGGCATTCTCTGTCCCCACCATCTGCAAAGCAGAAGGACCAAAGGGAAGAGGGCTTGCGAAAGGGCTTGCGAAAGGGCTTGCGAAAGGGCTTGCGA